ATTAGAGAATGTGTCCAAGATTCTGTTACACATATAATATCAGGCGTCATTTCCAGAGCAATGGCTCTGATTTGGGCCATCTTGTTTATAACAGACCTGGCATTCAATAATATAATATCTAACGTGTTTCGAACGGCAATGTTGCAGCAACAAGCGGACTATGTGACCTTGTAGCCATGCGACCAGTGACATATGTGTATCAATGTCTGCATTCGCTTAATACTGTGATTTCTTCACATTTTTGCTTATTTATCGATTTTTTATGTACAAATAGGGAGTTCAAAGTCGTAAACCTATTGCCCTCAAATACACTGACTGACTGACTGATAGGCAGGGGTTTACGCAGTTCGTTGGCAAGTTTTCGAAGTGATAGTACGAGAATTTGGTCCGGGTCAGGCAACTTAATAAGCTCCAGAGAGTGGTCGAACCCTACCTAGAGCCAACGAAGAGGATGATTCCTCTATTGAGGAGGGGACAGTGAAATTGGTTGGCGACGGGCAAAAGAGCAGAAAAACAAGTAGGCTCATGGATGAAGATGGACTAAAAGAATTTAGATAGGAGGGCAACCTTAACCTTGTCGTCGGTCTCCAAAATTCCATCTGCAGGCCAGGTGTTGACTTCTTTTATCGCTCCGTATGTAGCCGTAGAGGATTTTGGGGTTTTCCAGCCGATTTTGCAATATGTTTAGTTAGGGCTTCTTTCGGATACTAACTGTCTCAGTTTTACAAATGTTGTGCTGCTTCTTATAATCCCGCATGTGTTCATCGGAACCATTTAGTCTGTAACGCCTCCAGAAGCGATTTCCTTCTCCTTCTCCTTTAGGTTCGAATTTTTCCACATTTGGCGCTTTGTTACCGTCTTTCTTCTGAGATAACATTTAGGATCAATAATCCTCCTCAGTCACGAACTGAAAGTCCTCCAACGATCATTTTTCCCCTCACACACTGCTCGTTCCCGGGACAGCCCCGACATTTCTACTATCATAAGTGGATAACTCATCTTTCAATTTTTTATATCCCACCCGTTAGGCAAAATTACTCTAAACTTCTCAAGGTCAGGGCGCGCAGCTCAATTTCAAAGATAAGTGGAGCTTTGCATTTACTTGGATATTCTTAAGCAGTTTATGCATGTTTTTTTTACTTGAATCCCTTTTAAATGTCGCCTTTCAAGATAAGGTATAATCTTTTCCAGTTTTGTTTGAAAGTCTGGCAAAATAGTCGTATTTTGTAAAAAAAAAACATTTCTAGTGACTCATTTCCCGACTATCTCTTTCTAGTTTTCGTAGTAAAATAACAGTAGTACTTGCTATTCAGTGCGTTTTTCTGTACGTTAGTAACGTTTTGCTCCGTTTACTGTAAAGAAAAACTTATCTTTTCTGTAATGCCCCGCAGAGCGCGTGCTAAAAGACGAAAGCTTGCTGCCTCCTCATTGTCTCCGGGTGCTAGAATCGCCACTGATGACATAGCGGTTGCCAGAATATGTTCTTCGCCTTCTGCAGATAAGGGTAACTCACAAATCCCTTTAGTACATGTAGAACCTCTTGACCCTTCAATCGTCCTAAAATACGCCTCCGCTAGTCGTAGCAGGCCATCAGCCGACGAAATACTTCATCAGTTGATATATGGCCACATAAACAGTACTTCTGAAAAAGTAATTGAATAAGCTTTTAAACTTATTGCGGTAAGAAGTTCTGAAACTGAGGAAAGAATTAAACGCAAGCATAATTTTGTACTGCGAAACATTCCGAGTCACTTATCTGCCATGGAGGGAGCGCATTTGTTTCTACAAAGTTGTGGCTTGAGTTTCAGTGTCGCACAAGATAAACGACTGCGCTCGCTTAGCCGTAATGCGCCGATATTAGTTACCCTTTTCTCCATGATAGAAGTCGATTTTATCTTGTCGAGGAGGGGGATAACTAGAGAATTCTGTCGTAAGTGGCGCTGCTCCATTTGGCCAGACCTCACACCGCTGCAACGAAGACTGAATAAATTAAAATCGCCAAAAACCAACACCAGGGTAATGACACCTACTGCCAGTTTGAATAAGTCCTTTACACCACTATCTGCGGCCTCTGCACGTCACGACATAGTCAATACCATAGGAAATTCGACCACTATTGATGCTGAGATCTTTAGAAGTAACAACACGCCTGGTATACAAACGCCTCTAATGACTCGTACAGCAACCCCTAATAAGCTTAAGCATGTGCCTAAGTCAAAAGCAAATCCAATTGCTGTCTCAGCCACTTGGACACCCGATAAATCCAGCACCATTATACAATCTTTTCCTCCACAATCAGTTAACAGTGCCTCAAATACCCCCACTCAAAACGTAGCGTGCTCCCAACTGCCCCCCAGCCCTCATATCGGGGCAGGTAGGCCGAATATGCCGATTTTCCCACCGTTTAATAGAACTCTTGCTCCAATGGAAGCAATGCGTTTCCCACCCCCTAACGTGTTTCCACCACGGCCGTTTTACCAATGTATTCCTCATGCTAGTGTCCATACTGGATCAGTTAACTCATCCGATCCTCAGTTTC